CCCCCCCCCCCCCCCCCCACGTGCTTATGCGCAAGGACCCATATGAATATAATCATTTCCAAAATAAATCCAGGAATTAAAGTAGTCATTGAATTTGTCATTGTCCTACCCCGTCAAAACCATGTGTGAAATTTCAGATGTCAGATGTGATGAGATATGAATTCCCGAGACAAAAATTATCGAAAAATAAGAAAGAACGAGTAACAGTAAACATTCCAATGATAACTAGAATTATCAACTCAATAACTTGAAATTCACGGTTGGATTAAAATATATGCAAAAAGGGGAATGTCTTAAGACTCATATACGTAAAAACAAAAGAAATGCTGCACAAAAACTACCTTATACTGGTTCTCCCCAACAAGAAGTTCACTGTAATGGACGAGCTTTGGAACAGTTCCGAAATATTGAGGAACTGAAAGACATTCAAAAGTTAGAGCTATTTGAAATAGAGACAGTGCCAAGAGGCCTACCTTTCCCGACTTCTTTCCTACGAGCGCTTTGCCTCAATGGCCGAGGAGTTGGCACTACCAAAATATCAAGATCCTAAAAGATTAGGTATGGAACATAAGATCAGAACAAAAGAGCTGCGGGAGAAGAATGCATTAAAGCAAGATGTGTAGAGTCGGACTAAGGTGTTTGATAAGAATCAAGGGGAAAGAAAAAGATTAACAAAACAAATCCATTGAGCCTAAATAAGAGAAATCGAAAGATCAAAAACAGTGCAGAGAAACCTACCTCCCAAAATCCCTTCCAACAATGGCTCCGCTTCACTATTTGAGGCGTGGATACACCCAAAATATGGAGTTCCTGGAAGATTATGAAGATGAAATACCCTAGGATCAGAACAAAAGAGTTTTGAAGAAGTAATTTGGTAGAAGAATGAGAAGAGAAACTGAAAAACTAAACAGAAAAAGATGGAGCACGGATAATAGAGTGAAAAGTTGATCGAAAACCAGATGTAAACTAAGTGAACCTAAGGTCATAGTCTAATCAGTAAAGACAAAAAGAGAAAGGTAAAATAAACAGAACAGAAGAAGAACTACACAGAAGAGGGAGAAACCAACCGCACTCATCTCCTTCAGATTGCCAAATCCACAGCAAGATCGAGGTCCTCTAAAATTGCGAAATGACTAGCTGCATATGGAGATCACGCGAAGAAAATGTAGAGTTATGAAATAGGAAATATCCTGTCATCCAGGCCGGCCGGCAGTGTCGACACCTCAAAATAACACATTTTAAATTCTTCATCGCGGCTGCGTGACTATTCGCGAAAGACACACAAATTTAGCGCTCTCTACATAGAAAGATAGGTTCAATTACGTAAACTTTCAGTGTTACGTGATACGTCAATACAAATACTCTTTTGCTGTCCTCGTATTAAATTGCATAACATGATGTAGATTCTAACAAATTATTGTTTCTAAACTAACATTTTCACGCCTTCTAATGCAATCCTTAGTCATTGTGCAGAAAACAGAAAAAGCTTATTGGATAGTGAAAAAAGAAACAAGAAGCAGAACCGAATATAATAATATTCAAAACAAACCAAAGAAATCACCAAACCGGTTCAGTAGACATCATGTTGTGGAGAGTAACTAATTAGCAATCGTCTTGGAAGAAACATGACCGAAGAAGCATACAACAAAATAGAGGCACATCACCCAAATAGTTTGAAATATCCCCTCAAACGTTGAAAATAATCATTAATCACATAAAGGAATGGGTCCTACCGTCAAGGGAAAGTGTGTGAACAGGAAAAGGGAAGTTATGAGTTAACAGTGAGTATAAGTGCAATGCAAAGTTATTAATTGCGCCGAGTGGCGCGTCTTACAGACACCCTGAGATAACGTGCTCCAGTACGAAGGCCGCGACGCAGCCGCCGCAAGTTGTGTATGTCTGATGTTGTTGTTTAAGTTCTTCTTCGTGACTTGACGCTGGTCTCATCGTTTTGCAATTTTCGCAAGCACGGATTTGCCTCTGCAGTGGTCGCACTCGCACTCCTTATAAGTTAGATATGAATCCACACTCTTATCCACTCAACAATCCTGCCTCTCTTTAATCGTCAAATGTAATCAAGGGGTACACCGAAATAAGGGTGCTGAAATCGAATGTTTTTCATGAAATGTATTTGGGTTTATAGGATCGACGTTATCATCGCATCTTCTGGGCACCAGAATTCCTCTCTATCACGCCGTCGTGCCGACATGCAGCCAGTTTCATGCTGACCGCTTACTAAACGAGGTAGTGCATAAGTCAATGTTTACACAATTAACATACTTGAATTAGCAAGTGCCTGGAAAATTTGAATACTTTACGAACTCTAGTGTAGTGTAGTGTGCTGATCCTCTCCATGTTCCAAGTCTGTATAAAATATGTCTATCCATTTTGTCTCGAATACAGTTAAGATAGTTTAATTTGCGGCAGTTCCCCGTTGTTGCTAAGGGAAAACGCTATCAGTTTGAGGAGGAAGACCTTCACACCACCCTGATTGAACGATGCAGTGTAGTCTTTCCAACTACCTGAGAAAATGAGACTGCTAAATTCAAGACATTATCCCATACTTCTGACGTTTTACTAATATGTAACTTTATCAGTTTTCTGATGAACGAGCCCGTTTAACTATTTGTTAATGTGGTATTTTTGATGCTAAGTGGGACCCACTTAGCAACAAAAATACTACATTAACATATTAGTTAAGGGCGGGTATTGCTTCATTATGACAAAAGGCACAGTCCACGATAATTTTGAGGCACTTCTTTTAGTCGTAAACGGGAAATATTGTTGAAAATAGTCGTGAAAAAAGCAAGAAAATTCCCAACGTTGAGAAAAATAAGGCTTCTCAAGAAAAAAATATGAAAACTGAGCTTGGGAGATTACCGTGGCGGAAATAACATGCAAGAGGTTTTCTGACGGGATTTCAGTTGTTGTAATCGCACAAAGAGCTGGCTACATCGGGGGACGTTCGATTCGTGCGATTCTGGGTGCGCGCGGCAATTTGTGCGGCAAAATTCGCGAGTTTTCCGACCTCATCGAGCAACATATAGTATACGATGGGGCCTTGTAGCTATTCTAGGGGGATATATCATGAGCCATTTTTATTGTGAATTGTGCCTTTTACTAAACAAGGTAGGCGTGTTGTAAGTGACCGACTGTGGTCTACAACCGCTGAAAATTGCGAAATTGACTTAACGTAAGAATGAGATCATGTATTATCTTCAGGACTGCGCGANAAAAAAAAGTGATCTAGCCATCTGTGGTAGAGGCAAGTACGGCGCTCAATGTTCACCACATGATGCGGAGCAGTAATATCGAGCACTGTGGCAACAAAAGTAGGAAGTTGTGATAGGAGATTTCAAAGCACCAGAAAAAAAAAGCATGAGAGAAGAGTTGAAACTACCTTCAGGTTTATACAAGTATGTCTTAACAGGAATTACTGAAAGGTAAGTAATCGGCACGTGAAGACGAAAGCATTAATCAACGAATTAATAATGTTGAATTGTAGGTACATAACCAAGTCAGAATTGATCACTTTTGACATGTATTAAACCAGCCGAAGGGTCGGGATGGAATTAATTACACTATTTACAATGAGCTAACAATAAGTCATATGAGGAATGTAACAACAATTTCTATTGATAGTGTGTTACTAAACTGAAGAACTACCTCAACATGCCGGCTATTTCAAAGCTCCAAACATTACCATGAAAACATTTTACAACATTGGCGAAATCCACTAAAATCCCTTTTCGCGTAGATCTCGTCCTTTTTCTGACTCTATATACATCCTGAAGTATAGGAGAGTATTAGTTGTTGAACTTGGACATAAAATAGCGGTTTTTATTGTTCATTCATCATTGTTCATAGTATTCATTGAATCATTGTTTTCCTCATCAAAGCTACCAGCTGAAACAATTCTCCTCACAAGAGCATAGCTAGATGGAACCTGAAAGCTCTGCAAGCGCACACTTTGTACTTTTTGACTACCCAAGTCAGCCGCTGAACTTTTAGCGACAAAATGTATCCACACAAAGTCTTCATGCGATCTGAACGCCTCCTCTTAGCTCACTCGCATTTCCAAAGTTCTACACTCAACACATTACAGAAGAAGTATGCGGTAGAGAAGAAAAAAAAAATAAATAACTGGTCATGCAGCACAAATGAAGGTATCTGCTTCCGATCAATCCCTTCCGTTAAAAAGTACAACTAGGTACTTTGATTTGGCTGCTCGCGTTCCTTGATGAATATTACGATCTACTTTTCTGGTAGGCTACCCATCAGGACGGCAGAGGAGGCAGTGTGAATGCGTCTAGCTTTCAAACAGCCATCTTTTCAATCCATCGGCGATCGCGCCTTTTGATCCTGTCTTTACATTAACTTTTAATTTCTTGGTACTTTTCTACTATTACACCCCCAAAAACTCAAAATTTTAAGATTTGATGAAATTTCGCCTATAGGGGTAATCTGATGCCCTGATAACGAATATGACCTTCATTTTTGGCGCAGCCGCCAATTGCCGCCAAATGGCGCCCGCGCCAAGAATGAATGTCATATCCGTTATCAGGACCTCAAATAACCCCTGTACACAAGTTTTCAGCAAATTTGGTGAAAACATTCTTGGCGCCAAAGGCGCCAGCGCCAAAAATGAAGGTCATATTCGTTATCAGGGCATCGGATTACCCCTATATAGTTGGGGGTGTAATAGTAGGTAGAATAGTACCGATTTCTTTATAACAGCAGTTGGAAATGAATGATTCCTCGACCACAATGCCTCAACATTTTTCTTTGAAGGCTGTGAGCTCAGCTGATACTCAAAAACATGAAAAATTATAAGAACCCTCGTTAAGTAATATAAATACTAAAGGAGCACGAAATGGAGTGGCCCGCAGGCGGGCCACGAGGTCGTCAATGGGTTAATTTAATTACATCAATCAAGCATCAATTTCAGGGAGTAAAACAACGCAAAACAACTAAAGACGACATCCTTTACTCCATTCTTTTTATTTTACTACTGGTCAATACATGAGCTTCGGCCTTATCGTGGTAAATATCAGTCTTTTTTTACTAGTTTCGACTTAGCGCCGATGCGCACCCTTGCGTGCATGACAAATTAGTAAATAAATATGACACTCAGCAGTTCACTGTTAATTGGAAGAGCTTGCTACTCCTCAGGAATATTAGATTGAGCACGTAGAATCAACAAAAGTAATACCAGCACAAACAAATGACTTTTCTACATGACTCTACTAAATTACACCTTTCTTTACCTTTTTGATGAGAACATTTGAGAGAATACATATGATAAAGATCACCTCTGTCTTTCAATGTTTACGCCGTGATACACTACGCACGCAGCATAAGGGTGGCAATAAAAGAAATAGCAGCAGCGATGGATGATATTTCACCTTTAATACCTCAATTTGTCGCAAATCTTGATCCTAACACTAAATGGATTTTCAAGCCAAATATGGATTGGCTTGCCTTGGAATTGGTACAAACTAAAGAAAGAATTTCGAATGATTAGCAGTGTGTCACGGAAGGGCGTTACACTGGAAAGTAACACTTGAGTTCGATGAGGATAAAGCAACGTGTTAACAGCGTGTCGTCAGTGACGTATTTGTACTGATTTTTACCAACCTTTCCTATGTACACATTGTTCAAATTTCGTGGAGCTATGCAACTTGACTGCGATTTATCGAGCGAATTTACCTTGGTCATTAAGTTCTGCGCACCACAAACCTATATGGCACGTCATCCTTATCCTTTCTGAAATGTTAGCTCTTCAAGCTCGTAGAATAGAAGAATGATATCTCGGGAAGACCAGTTGTTTCGACTCAAACATTGCGAAAAAAAGACAATGAACACAAATTAATGACCTTCTGTGTTTGGCTATCATCTCTCTCTTCGCCACATGATAAGGAGAGATGTCCATGTCCATTTGTTGATTTACAACAGACATATCCGAAGCTGAGTGTTGAGGAGGAGAATTCGTGATTGTGGAATCAGACGATGAGACAACGTCATCACTGCTACTCTCGTCGTCATCGTCGAATAAGAGATCCGCATTTTCCGCGGGTTCACCATTTGTTCTCCATGGACGCATTCCGTCCTGTACAACATATGGATGTCGAAAAGGAAAAACATACATCACTACTTACAATACTGGCAATGAAACCAGCTCGACCCTCCAAAATATTCTCAATTGTGGCCTGCGATGATCCGCTCATGCGCAAATCCTCCATTACAGCATCAAGAGGCACTTGAGGAAACATCTCGTGAACCTACAAAATTAGCACAAATTTTGTCAAAGCTTCAACGTTTACTGGTTGGTACCTGATTAGCCATTCCAGTCAACTGTGATTCATCCTGCTGAACCTCTCGCCTCAGAAACGGATTAAGAGCGGGCGTTCCTGTTGAGAATTCTATGGAAAATGAAGGAAGGCGTAGAAATCCGAACCTTAAAACCCGTAGTAACATCTTGTAGCGCTGTTGGAGCAAATTGTAAAGCACGACTCTCGAAATATGTGCGAGACAAGTCGCAATGGGTTGGATTGCAGGATCATGGACATTTGTCATTGCTCGGAAGGAGCTCGTAAACAAAGTCATGTTCTTTGTGATCTCTTTCAAATAGTTCAGAACTTTTGTATTGGACTATGACTGGCTTTTTACTGTTGAACCCTGTCGTTCGCATGCTTCGACGTTGTTGAAAAATCGCGCCGTGCACTAGTCACCTTGTAGGATTTGTTCACTATAGAAATGATTACTATATAACACTTCAGCGGATTAGGGAACTTTCGCAAAATGTCATATAGCCCTTATAAAAAAGTGCAATTTTGGATGGTCAAGAAATCATTCAGCTCAGTTAAGCGTGACCGTGCCGCAGTAAAAATGTTGTCCTTGTACTGCCACTACCTGAATGCCAACTTTTTTCAAGGGCGTAAAGCCGGAACACAGCAGAAACGGACTGCATAAGGCAAATGAAGGAAGGAAAAAGGAGAAGACCGTTCAAAACATTATTAAATAAGGGGCTAAGAATAATGAAAGTTTCACCCTCCACCAAAACGAAATGTAGTAGTCGAATGCGGAGATGGTGGAGGTTGTTGGCTATTAGGTGCAGGAGTTGAAACTGCGAAGCGACAGGTTGGACACGATCCGTCTTGCGCCAACCACCACATCAAACACCAATCATGAAATTGATGGCCACACGGAAGGCGACGGGAGCGTCCCAATTTTTCCCAGCACACTGCAAGGGCACGAAAGTATGTAAAAATCGAGTCGGATGAGCAATTTCATATAGTAAATAACGCAAACTCGTACCTATACACAAATCTCTCTCTTCGGCCTCCTCATTGGGATACGTCGATTGAATATGCAGGAAAATTTGATTGTGTTTTCGATGTCGAGCTAATGTATTTACAATCGAACTGAAAGAAGCATTCCATTCCAGTTATAGAACAGCTTTTTCAAAAACCAATTCAAACGAACCTGTAAGCGTTTTTGATAAGGTAGAAGAAAAAAAAACATGTGATATTAAATCCAATAGGAGATAAAAACATCAAATGAATCTAAAAAACGAGTGAAATCAAATTTCCGGAAAAATTTTCGAAGCTGTGACCTGGAACAGCTTCAACTTTAGCGATGAAATGAAAATGAGATAAAACTGTTATAGTTTCGATTCAAATCGTTAAAACATCAGCAACAATGGTTCTAAGCCAATGAAAATCCCAAGAATTTGGAGTTAACTTATAAGGAGAACCTGTTTGCAAGACAGGAGCAGGTAGAAGGAGTGGTTCAAGTTTCTAAGGATGGAGCTGATGGCATGTTTGACAAAACAAGAGGAATTGAAGCATCAGCGAGCATGAGTTCACTAGAACTATGTAGAAATGAAATGGATGAGAAGATTTTATCAGAGTTGTCACAGACAGATGGCGCATATCCATCTACTTGAGCTCAAATTTTTTCAAAGGGATTTATAAATGGAAAATGTTACGTAGCCTTTAAGCACCCATAGCGTCATGATGTTTCAAAATAATTCGCATTCATAGAATTCTGAATAACATCATTAACGAGATTAATTGCGGACTGACACAATAAACGAGCTGGATGGCATCCGTAGCAATGGTAACGGATAACTCAAGCCAATAATTGAAATGTCGTACGGAATCTGGAGAGGTACCGAACCGTTCCGATGACGATAAACATCGCAGAAGACCATGAAACGAACGCAATGAAGATGTTATGGTCTGAATTAATCGCACTCCACCGCTTGAAACAAATGTTGAGAGCTCTGCATCTTCCAGTAAGAGACTCACGTCTACAAGAAGAAACAAAAGGTGACTAATGGCAATCTGATCGTGGCATTTAATGACGAATAGTAGTAAGGTCACAGATACCACGCTGGTAAATAAGCACAGCCAGGAAAGACGTCCGCCCGATGAGCCTGTAGACAATGAAACCTGAAAGTTGTACACATATTGGTGGGCGAATACATTAGAAATGTGAGCTGAGAGGGATAAATATTACATGCCCTGCATGTGTACGTATATTTCTGTAGTATTGAATCAGTTTAAAGAAGAATTCCCAAAACAGCCTTCATAGTGAGCTTAGTAAATACAATGAAAAGTATTTCATTCATATTTACACTTCTATTTTTCTAAACTCATTTGGATTTGTCGATGATAATCAGACCATCTTTAATATTCATAGAAAATTACAACCGCAAATGCTTGTTGATCTTTTACTATAGCACATGGAACAACAAAAACGTTGCATCAATAAAACATCAATTCCGTTTCAAGTACAGCACTCAAACATAAATAGTCAGCGTATATGAGCAACACCATGACCCAAAAATTAAAAATTTCATGAAAGTATTCGCTCTTACTGTTGAGATGCTAGAGGCCCTTGTTTTATTTTGAGAAATGACTAGAATAATGCACTATAAAACTTTTTGTGAATCCACAGTCCGGATGAATTCTGCAACGAAGAACGGATGAAAACAAAGAGAGTCTGTTACATACAAATTTGAAGCGTTGATAGGTGATATCGTGAAGCACAGTCAAAAATCCGATGATTCCGAACCATACTAACCACGGTAGCACTCTATGGGAATGATGAGCACCAGCCACCACTGATAAAAAGACGAGACTGAAATCGAAAAACAAACCTGATCTGATTTTGGAAATAGAAAATGTGAAACAATCGTGTAATAACAAGATTTGATAATGAATTTGTTTGATTTTACCTAAACATAAGAAAAGACAAAAAACAGTGACGGACAATGATTTCTTCTTGACGGGTAAGCTGTTTAAATGTCAACTTGATTATAATCTTTGCTATGAGAGCGAGAAAAGCAAAATAGGTATTAATCGAAACCTGAAAGTTCACAAATTAAACCGTATTTCGAAAGTTAAAATGCAAAAACAAGGAAAGTCTTGATAAAAAACTAAATTGTACTCGCCCAGAGAAGTGGACTGCTGCTCTTAACATACTGTAAAGCTTGAACTATGGTCAACGAAGAAATATATTTTAGATCCTCCGAGTCATAAGTAGAAACCAAAGAACTGTTGAGTATTTCTTCACGAAGAAGTTCTCGAATCTGAAAGGAATCAGTTAAAACGGAAAAATGAATAAAAAACTCAATTTTGCTGCTGTTACTGACACTCTGGAAACATGGCATTCTGGTGACTTTACGACCGCAATAGCGAGCTGGATCAGTGATACGCCCCTGCCATCTCTGATCGCTTCAGTACTAATTTGTAATGCAACACAATGAAACAGCTCTAACCCATGAAGATGAAATTTTTTTGTACCAAAATTCCAGTTTGTACTTTTCAAACAAAAAAAAAAAGACTTTCATGTTGCTGGGTCAGAATTGTGTCTTTGCATCAGGCAGAGATGATACCGTTGGCTCTCCATATATCATTGTACTTTGGTTCTCCGCCATAGGGTAGCCCAAGGAAAAAAGTGATGTCTTTTTGATGCCATATCTGGTTTGTAAACCTGAGAGAAAAGAAAAAACCATGGTTGTATCTTGAAAAGAAACTAACTTCGGGTTGTGTTTTGAATACGTTCACGATGTTCCCTAGAGCTATGAGCGATATGAAGAAACTGATTGCAATGTAGCTGGCTATCGATGGAAAAGGAGTGCGACTTAATCGTAGTACGCTAGAGAAGCCAGAGGGCACATTACGTCGTGGTCGATCCATTGTTTCGAGCTGGAAATGAATCAGTAATATAGAGTACAGAGGGAGAATCTATGTTAATGAATTCGAGACCACGAAAAATGGCTCTCGTGGCAAAAAGCGTGCCCTACGGTTAATCGACAATGAGCTGAAATGAGGCTTACCCAGCTAAAACCCATGTCTAATCACATCACAATGAGCTGGATCTATAACGTCTAGCACTTGCGACCGATAAAACACTCCACGAAGTTAGCGTCTGGTAACAATCAGTACGTTGTTTAACGTGAAGCATCTTACTGGCAAAACTCAAGAAACATACACGGCAATACATTTGTGACTTATAAATTTAACCTCTATTAAATAGCTTGTATTTTTTATTCTTTGTTCTCAATGGATTTACTTGCAGCTTCTCTACTTTTTTGGTAATGATTAAAGTGGAAATATAGGCTCATAAGGATGACTCTACGTCCGTTCTCAATCTTTAAGGTATGTGAAACACATCCTGCCGAAATAACCTGTACTTTAGTCATAGTCTCCGAGAATCGCGAGAAGTACGCAGTCGTGAATTTTTTGAGCTCTCGGCCTGTTCCACCTTGATTTTAAAGAAACTACTATTGGGTTTATAGTTACCAACTCTTAATACCTAGCCTTTTGCAAGTGGTGATGCGCGAGCTTGAAATCAACAGCTTCTGGAATACCGCCCTGAGTCCTAGAATAGTTTAACGACGATAACATCGTTATACCGACTGATAATGATTTCAAATTCTGTTAACAGCCTGTATCTATATTAGTTCTCTCAGCAAAATGATTAACATGAAGATGAACCGAAATATAGGCGGGCACACCACAAAGGGGCAACACTGCACACGAGTAAATATTCACAAGTCTGGAATTCGTTTTGAAGCGGTTTGAGTAGAAATTGGGCACAGAACAAGCAAAAGAAGCAATTCTTAAATTACATTATGGAAGACAACTCTCACGACCTCATAATCAACAACCCCGTGATCTTCAGTTAGTGATGGTAAATTCTCACTGAGAACGAGGAGATTAGCAGGAGCTCAGCAAGAGGGTAGGCTCAGAAGGGAGTGAGGGCTCACTATGATGTGTTTGGGGAGAAGTGCCCAAAAATGGCAATATTAAGCTACTAAAAGGAAATATATCATTCAACTTATTGAACGGACTCTTCGCCACAAGCCGGATTTAATCGTCCTGTGAATGTGTGACTCACTAACCCAAACACATGCTGAAGCCCGTTAAAATGTTAAAATCCCTCCAATCTCCTCGTCACCAAAGAAACTGCATTTCGAGCAAGGCCCTGAGCAATGACGCCACCTTCACGTCAGCTCATCACAACGCTCAGAGAGGAGCGAGGGCTCGTCATTGTCAGCAGCTTCCTAGGAGTACATCGGTATCAATTTCTAAAAGACTTTCCTCCAATAGAGGAAGCTGAGAGTAGCGATACTCTGGTGCGTCTGCCCCACCGACTCTTCCAACACTCTAATCTTGCATAGCGGGAGAACCACTGAAACAAACTTTTCGGCTTACCATAACAGCTTAGCGTCTGATTATAGTGTTTACTGTCAGTTTACGACAAGCACGCGCCAGTTGCAGGGTGTTTCGTTGGGCGCGGCTCCACATAGCCACATTGTCATTGGGGTGCATGTGCTAAACCCCAACCCCAACCTAGGCTCCCCCACACAAGTTTCTGTGAGGACCGTGTGTGAAGACTCAAGGGCCATTGAAACTTATTCACAACCTCATTAATCAACATATAAGCGAAGACATTGCAAAGAATTCAAAAGTCTGTTTTATCCTTTCTTATTGACGCATGTTAAACCACTACATACATTGTCGAAATCCACATAGCGTTTCAGATTTATGCACGTTCGTATGTCGTATTTGCGCGGCCATGTAACTGAACTAAATTTGGTGAAAATAAAACCTCTTCTTTGGATAGTGCTGGCACGGACCAATTTTAAAGTAACCACCGAAGGACTTGTTTACGTCTGAAGAAACAATTCGTTGCCTTCTTACTGTTATCACCTTGGCACGATAATAACTCTCCAAACTGATAATCTAATGATTTTATTTCTTCAGAGATCTTAATTTTCCCGGGTGAAAATGTGGGGTGAGTGAACCAATTGGAAGTTTAGTTCTTATCTCATCTCAGCTTTTTGCATAAGATAACCACTTCACCCACCCCTGAGCTCCTCCCCTTCCTAAATCTAGGTAAAAACAATATTTTATGGCTAAAAAGCATCTCTAAGAACAAGTAAGGACGACTACCCCTAATTCTTTGCGTTCTAGCCTTCAGTGATTCAAAAGGGCACTGGCCCCCCTTACTACATTTTCGCCTTTTACTATTCATGTAATCTTTCCAGTTTATGGAGAGTTTAATGAACTTCGAGTCCTCACATCTAATCAAGATTGTCTCGAAGATGCAAAACAAACGAATTGAGTAGGCAGACATCAGTAAATATGTCTAGGCAAATTGCGCGGCAAAGTTCGTAACGATTTGAACGGCTTTAGCGCCTATCATTGGGGCCCAAATTTGAAGTAGAGTAGATTAGAAGGATCATCTGATCCTACCTAACTACTCTACTTCGAGTTTGCGCCCCGACAAATGGCGCCCGAGTCGTACAAATCGTCACGAACTTCGCCGCGCAAGTTACCGCGCGCATCCTCGGACGCACGTAAGTCCCATTTTCCAACGGGTGTATATCAGCTGAATGGGCAGTGGGATGGCCGATGAGCATGGTCAGAAGATTGAACCACATGAACGAGTCGTCCACCCCACATGCCGGGTCGAATTGGCGGCGCCAAGGAGGCAATTTCAAGCCCATGAACCCCAATCGCTGCTTTCATACTTCGACCTCACGCAGGTGGAAACGGACGTACATTTAGAGAGCGGCATGCGAGCGGCTATGCGACGTCGGCCCTATCCAAGCGTGTGGCAGCAGCCATCCTCGATTTGAGGTATCGATCGGTGCCCACTGCTGTCACACGCTTGGATAAGGCCGACGTCGCATAGCCGCTCGCACGCCGCTCCCTAAATGTACGTCTGCGTGCCGGCACGCGGCACGCTCGTCGAAGTATGAAAGCGGCCAATCGCAAGTTTGTTGCAAGGGGTCGCGCTTACAGTACCACTAGTTGTCAGTGGAGCGACTGATTCACACTAGTCAGTATTATCTTCTCTTCAAGCGGTCAGCACTCTTCTCGTAGGCCTCACTGACGTGACGGAAACGGACGTCTCCCCCGCCGGCCTAGGACCACTTGAACTCGGTCCCTTAAATTACGGCGACCGCAGGTGTTTTTCTGCCATTGTCTGTCGCACTCCCGTTCATTCCAGTCTTTAACTGCTGTGCTTGCCTTACGCTGTGCTTGTCTGACCAATGGGACCTCCACCACCAACCCGGTGTCCCTCACCCAGGGTATTTTTTTCTGCGCACTAACCTTTCGCTGCCAGTGACGCAGAGAAAGTTCAAGTAGTCATGTATGCCCCCTCCCCCCGCTTGATGGTTCGGACGAGTTGCCCGATACAGAAAGAAGCCCATAGCTCCAATAACAGTGACTGCGAGGGGCAGTTCCAAATAACATACACCCGTCAATCGAAGTCCATGCGCTCCAATGGCAAAAGGACGGCGACAGGCTCCGCCAAACGGCCAAAGGGAAGAATAAAAAACATGGTGCTCCGCGGTTTCACCATTGAAACAGGTAATGTATACGTGTTTGCTCTAGATTCGAGTTTTATCTCAAGAGAGGGACTCGACCTTAATAGAGGCTCTCAAAGTTTTGGAGCAAATCTGCTACAATCCCGATTAAGGGAAACCAAGGGCGCGAACCTGAGGAGGATGAGGTGCCGACTTTACGGAAGTGTTGCATTGCTTAGAAACGATTCTGAGACAAGGTATGGAATATTGGCAAAAGCCCAATGAATGGTGGAGACATTTTGGACTTTAAGGGAAAACTCTGAGAACGCAAGAGTTATCCGCTAAGGAAACCCGATCTATAGTTCCATGTTCACGAGAAGCCTCATCAGTGCACCAGGACGTGTGACGGTACTTTCCCACGAATTCCCTCTGCAAGCGGCACTGCTTCCGTTTCCTTCCATGAGGGTTGAAACCTTTCCCTTACTATACTTGCAAGATCAGGGTCAGCGGGCGCGATTTTCGGGAAAAGTACCCATCTCTGCGAGCCACCAATCCGCTAGTATAGGACACATCAATGGCTGCTTTCAGACTTCGACGACCGTCCGTCCGTCCGCCCGTTCGTCCGTTCAACGCGTGCGCGACGGCGGTCGCGTGCGTTCTGCAACGGCGGCGCCTGACCGTTGTTGACAACGCTAGATCACGTGCCAGCGCTGTCAACACTACTCTAGCGCCGCCGTCGCAGCACGCAAGCGACCGTCGTCGCGCACGCGTTGAAGGGACGGACGGTCGGTCGTCGAAGTCTGAAAGCGGCCAATCCCCCTTTGGTTGAAAATTTAACTGCGACGCGAGAGCACTCTTGTGACGGATGTTGCGCTGCATGTGTAAGTCATCGTGCCCCAATGTTAAAACCACGATAAAAAACCCTCCCCACTGGACGCGCGAGATGCTTTTAGGTGCTAAGTGGGTTGGGGGGACCATGCGGCGCGGCAGGCGGCGCGGCTCCCTGCGCTCTCCAGCGAGACAATAGTGGACTGAGTCTGGGAAGGAACGGTAAGGTTGTACTGATGTGTTTCGTGATTCAGAACAAACAATATGTCTGCATATAATGGATACACTTCTTCTGAGCCGATAAAACCTATTTTTTATCCTTTGACGACAGCGCGGCACAACGGTGAGCCACGGTTTTTCTGTCGCGTGGGACAGCGCGGCTCAACGGTGGACCCCACC